TTTTTTCTCCAATTGCAGATCAGTTTGGGTGTGTTTTGCTTCCCTGTCTTGTAATTCACTAATTCAGTCCTCTGCTTCTAGTCTACTGTTGAAAACTACCATGGTGTCTTTTTTGCAGCTATATCACTCTTCATTTCTTCTTGATTCTTACATAAGTTGTTGATTTTTTCATCCATCCGGTTTATGAACCGTTTGATGCTTATTATGAATTCTTTTTCTGACATATTGCATACCTCTGTTTCACTAGGCTTCTTTTCTGGCAATTCCTCCTTTTCTTTCCTTTGGGCATTTCTTTGTCTACCCATTTTTGGTCTCTCTGACTGATCTAGATGTCGAGTTGTGCAGGGGCTGCTCCTTGGGTGGCAGTGGCTCCTCGGGCTGCAGTTGCTCCTCAAGCGGTCGCACTAGCGGCTGCTCCTCAGTTGGCAGTGTCTCCTCCTGTGAGTTCTGTTTACAGCAGTGGTATCTCCTCTGGCTGGTGGGGGAGGCTGCTCTCACAGCTGCTGTTCCTTAGACGGGGGTGGGCTAATCACATGTCAGCTGCTCCTCACATGGGGATGGACTACTTACGTGGCTGCTGCTCTTTGGATGGGTTGGCTGCATGCTGCTGCTGATCTTCAGATGGGGTGGGCTGCTCGTGAGGCCGCAGCTCCTTGGACAGGGGCAGGTTGTTTTCAGGGCTGCTGCTCCTTGGATGGGGGACAGGCTGCTTGTGCAGCTGCTGCTCCTCAGGCAGGAGTGAGCTGCACATGCAGCTGCTACTCCTTGGACAGGGGTGCTGCTCCTCACCTGTCTGCTGCTCATCCAACAAGTGTAGGCTGCTTGGGTGGCTGCTGCTCCTCGAATGGGGGCGGGCTGCTCGCAGCACTGCAGTTCCTCGAACAAGTATGGGTTGCTCACACAGCTGATGCTCCTCTGATGGGGGCAGGCTGCTCACACAGCTGCTGCTCCTCAAATGGGAGTAGGCTGCTTGTGCGGTTGCTGCTCCTCAGATGGGGGCAGGTTGCTTGCACAGTTGCTGCTCCTTAGACAGGTGCAGGCTGCTCACATGTCTGCTGCTCATGTGGTTGCAGTGCTCTGGTCTAAAGCGTTGGGCTGGTCAGAGGGGAGCATGCTTCAAAACTCGCAGGAGCCTGTGCCTGGGGTGGCTGGAGTCCCGTTGACTGTAGGACCACAGCTGAGGTATCAGGTCCCTGGCAGGGGTGGCTGTAGAGTCCCAGGTGTTATCTGAGGGCACCCTGGGTGGAGGTGAGGCTGGGCTCCCAGTTATAGCAGCTCTCCCCTTCAAAAAGGCGAGGCCTCTGAGGACAAGCTGGCCTCCTGGTACTGTTTGCAATGGTAGTAGAGGCTGCCTAGTTAGGCGAGTCCGGTTAGCCTGCCTCAGAAGGTCCTGCAGGATCTAACTGTGCCACACACACACACACACACACACCCCATATACAACCACACAATCCTCTTTTGCTCCCTCACTCATTCACATTCTCTCCCTCACTGCCACTACCTGTATTTGGGTCTGGGATGTTATTGACCCATTCAGGGATGGAGTTTCCTCTCCAGGTGTCTGGTTATGTGGCTCACTCTCTAGCACCTTGGCCAGACAGGATAAAATTCACCTCGACAAGACACAACACAATGGAAGGTGTCTTGTTATGAGGCTCGCTCTCTAGCACCTGGCCAGACAGGATAAAATTCACCTCAACAAGACACAACACAAAGGGAACAAAGCACAAATGTATGCATGACACCAATAACCCCAATATAAGTGAATAAGTGACCACCTGAGCAAAGAGAATTAGGGGAGAGAAAAGAAAGCACAAATGATATCAAAGAGAGAGAAAAAGATGAGAGAGAAAAGAAAAAGCAAGATAAAGGAGAAAAAAATATATATATATGGAAAACACCCCAGAACCAATAGATAAATAAAAAAATATATACAAACACCCAGCAAAGAGGGTGGGGGCAGAATCTGTAGAGGCTGAGCTTATATACAGAAAATAAGGTTAAGAATTAGATGAATATGGGGAGGACCACAAGTCAGTACAGAGGAAGTATAAAGGGGAGGAGTGGATAAGAAGAAAGAGAATGAGAGGAAAAGAATAATAATAAATTTACAAAAAAATGATTTCAAAAATGGTATAAAAATAGCAAATAAAAATAAGATAAAATAGAGTGATGGGAAAATAATGTGAAAAGAAATAGAAAATAAAGCAACAAACAAAAACAGGAAAACAAAGAAAAAAGAAAAAAAGAGAAAATAATAATAAAAAAACTTAAAAAAAATGAAAAAGTGAAGTGTCATTCCTTTGGCTGGCTTAAGAACCCTGTCTTCTGGACTGTACTATTTCTCAGTTTCCTGTTGATGGGACTGAAGGTCTCTCTTTAGACTGGTCCCTGTGGACTCTCAGGGACTATTCAGATTTTTTTTTTAATTCTTTGTACAATTCAGGGTGGAATCTGGGTGTGGTTGTATTGGTTGCCCAGAGACTGGAGGGAGGGGCTATCTCTTCAGGACAAAATGGCTGCCCAGCTCCAGGCTCAGGTATGACTCAGCACCAAACTTGCTGCCTCTTCTCCTAGACCCCCACCTCTCCCCAGATTCCACAAGTCACACCTTCTCCTGCATCTCAGCCATGGGTAAGTGTCTGTATCTGAAAGGTCCTGTGAACTAGGTTCAGTGAAGAAAAGCACAGGCCACAGAGAGGGGAAGGACTTCGCCTCTGTGACCTTCTCTCCTGCCAGCACTGCGCGGTCTGGTCAGCCCTTAAGGCTGCCCCCTCTGAGCTCAGCCTTTCGTGACTGTGGACCCAGATCTAGAATCCCCTGCCTCCAGCAGTCCTGTGGACCTTCTTTCCACAGTCAGACGCTCCGCCTGTTCCCAGGGACGCGGCTTGGTGCTGTGCAGATTCCCTTTAACCTTCTGGACTCAGAGGCCTGGCAGACTCTCCTGCCCAGATCCTTGATTTTACCTTTCTCCAGGGATCCTCTGCCCTTTCTGGCTACAAACTGTCTCACCAGCTGAGTCTCCTTCGCCAATTTGGCTTGGATGTTATTCGTTTCAGCTGCTCATTCTATTTGCTCTGGGACAAGGCTCAGGACACGTCCATCTATTCTGCTGCCATTTTGTCTCTCCTCTGAAATCACTTTTTATATGTAGGGAAAAGGTTTTAAAATTTGGATAACCTTCAAACACAAACAATTTATTAGTATGACTGTAAATGGAAAGGACACAGCATCTATAGAATTATATTAAATGTCTATACAATTTAATATTATGAGTCTATTTTTTAAATATGCCAATCCTGTGTCTATACAGAAAGACAGGAAAATAGGTTCATGGTATAACATTAGTGATATTAGTTTGGCAAAAAACTATGAATGTGTGGAATGTGTGTTGATGTATGTTTGTGGATGTGGGTATCAATGTTTATATATGAATATATATGAATGAAATGCAGAAAATGCTTAGCAGTGGGGGGTGGAAGTTAGTGAGGACTCTTTCAGTTCTATATATTTTAATTTCACAAAATTTTATTTGTTTTACTTTAAAATGAAAATTAATAGTAAACCATTCAAATAGAAAAGCATAAGTAACATGTGAACTGCACAGAATGTAAACGGTTAGTGATGCAAGCTTTTCATAAAGTTTTATTTTATAGTTCATTTGAAAAAAATTTTGCATCTAGTTTGGAAAATATATTCACTTAAAATGAAACACATATTGTTTCATAATAGTGTTGAATTTCTAAAAAGGGCTGGGATAAGAAATTAAAGTGGCCAAGTCAATTGATGGTAATTTTATTGCAATATTTTGGGTAGAGATTAAAGAAATTAAATGTGGAAGTGGGAAAAGCAAATATTTTGAAAATAAATTGATATAATATTTGTGAAAAATTCTAACATCACCCAATGATATGCTTTCTTCTGTGATTGACATGTACATAATTTTTTTGAATCAGACGATTACTGGAATTAGTGGGTAGTCACATTGTAAGATTTAAAAATATGTCAAATCATTCTATTGTACACCTGAAATTAATATAACCAATATAAGATTGTATACCAACTATAGTTAAATTAAAATAATTTTAAAAATGATTATGAAGACAAAGTACTTATTAAAAACAGTCAAAATGTAAAGGCCAGATATATACTATCATGTAGGTAGTGATGTCATTCACTATTATGCTGTCAAAATTGTCACTACTTTTTCTAACCTATTTCTCATATTACAGTCATGCACCACATAACAACATTTCTGTCAATGGCAGCATCTGAGACAGTGGTCCCATAAGATTAAATGGAGCTGAAAAATTACTATTACCCATGACATTGTAGCTGTCTTAACCGTGGGAGCTTCATAGCATAGTGCATTACTCACATGTTGTAGTGTTGCTGGTATAAAGAAATCTAATGTGTTGACAGTTGTATAAAAGTATACCACAATTGCATACAGTACATAATGTTAGAGAATCATTATAAACAACTATAATACTGATTTATGTATTTACACTGTACTTTTAATCATGATGTTAGAGAGTACTCTTTCTACATATTAAAAATGTTTGCTGTAAAACAGTATGCCATACATACTGGCAGCAGCCTCATGCTACTTGTGTTTATCACATTTCCTGATTACATCATTTTCTCTTGTGCCTGATTTGATCTTGTGTACTTTTTCACATTAACGTGCTGTATAGGCGTGTAGCCTAATAGCAATAGGCTATACCATATAGCCTAGATGTGTAGTAAGCTATCTACCATCTATGATCGTGTAGGTGTACACATGTTGTACACCTATGATGTTTACACAATGACAAAATCATTTAACCATGCATTTCTCAGAATGTATCTTTGTTAAAAGAATAGGACAGAGTATATTATTTAAAAACTTTAAAAAATAATGATTTTACTCTTTTGAATTTAGGCATGTAAATACTAACACGATACTAATATATACAGTCTAACATAATTTAGAGTGATTGTATGTTTTTATATTTTAGATATGTAATAATTTGGGCAATTGCCATTGCTTTCCTGGCTATCGGCCTCCAGATTGTGAATTTCAAATAGGTTCACCAGGAGGAAGTATTGATGATGGAAATGTTCAGAAATCTGGTGAGTAAAAATTAAACTTTGAAAACAAAAATAGAGTTTTATTTTATTAAATAAAGAAATGTACTGCCAAGTCATATCTTTCATTATCTTTTGAGTAATTAAAAATTATCATGAAGAGTGGCTTTAATTAAATTACTGTCAAACAAAATTTGTAATGAGAATTTTTTTTCAGAGATACTGACTTTTAATAATCTTAGTAAAATTAGTTAGAATATTGTACTGTTAAATTTCAATAAATATCATAATATGAATTCAAAATAAATTCAAATATGGAATAACAAGCACTATACAAATGATTTGCATTCCAAAATATAAAAAATTGTAGGTTATTAAAAAACAAGCAAAGCATAAGGTTTTTATTCAGAATTACATTTTGAAAATAACATTTAGCAAAATAGAAATACACATATTTATTAAAAAATAATAGCAAACCATATTTTATACTTTCTCTTGTTCCCATAAATAAACACAAGAGCCATAAGCTATTTATTGATTCAACCATTCATTTATTTATTAATACCCTTTCTCCACAAACATGTTATTAAGTATCTGGTAAGGCAATAAAATTTAGATCCACATTTTAGTATGTCTACTCTTGCAGCAATGTGGAAAAGGGATGTTATAATGTGAGTCTGAATTAAGATAAATTATTTGAAAGGCAATTGTGTTACTTATAAAGACCTGAAGTAAATAATGAAATTGAAGATAAATAAGTCGCTACATAATATCAAATATTTGTGAGTAACAATGAATAAGGCATGGTCAGTTGTATTTGGTACATAGAGAAGAATGTGTAATGATGATATATCATGTTTGCATAAAATAATCTGAGGATAGACACATCATAAGATAATGAATCTAGTTTTGAATAACTAGAGTTTAGTTTACCTGTGGAAGAATCCATGTGATAATATCTGTGAGAAGCCATGGGAATTTGATAATAATGTTTCCAACTCAGTAGGGACATCAAGAATTGGTATTCCTTTGTTAGTTTATAATTAATTTAATTCATAGGATGACATAAAAGTATACACTGTTATAAACAATAAGAGATTTGGATATAATTTCAGGAAACAGCAATATTTCAGAAACAATGTCTGAGATTACTAGTGATTTTTAAAAGAAAGATCATAAAGAGGAGTAGTCACAAAGACTTTTGCCATGATGTACTAATAATATAAAATTACGTGTGATATTTTTATAAGGCAATAGTATTAGATTATGATTCTAGAAATAAGAGAAACACATGATACTCATCATTGCATGTTTATGGCGTGATACAATCATTCTTATGTGTAACAAAATTCAGGTGAAAATGAAAAAAGAGAGAGTGAATGTACAGAAAAAAATATTTTTAAAAATAATGTTACCAAATTTCCTAAACAAGATGAAAAAAGTTAACACTCAGATATATGAATCTACATAAACCTCAAGCAAAATAAATTAATTAAATTTAAACCTAGTGCACATCAAACATTATCTAGCACAGACCACATTAGGACACAAAACAAGTCTTGATAAATTCAAGAAGATTGATATTATATCAAGCATCTTCTCTGACCACTATTGTAAGACACTAGAAATCAATTAGAAAAACAACTGAAAAATAAACAAACATATGGAAGTTAAATAACATGTTACTAAACAATGAATGGGTCATCAATGAGATCAAGGAAGAAATCAAAGGTTACCTTGAGACAAATGAAAATGAACACAGAACAATCAAAAATCTATGGGACACAGTGAAAGCAATCTTAAGAGGTAAATTCATAGCAACACAGATCTACATTAAAAAGCAAGAAAAATCTCAATCTAACCTTACACCTACAGGAACTAGAAAAAGAACAACTAACAAAGCTCAAAGTAAAATAGAAGAAAAGAAATAAAGATTAGAGAAGAAATAAGTGACATAGAGATTAAAAAATACAAAAGATCAATTAAACCAAGAGCTGATTCTGTGAAAAGATAAACAAGATTGACAAATCTTTAACCAAACTCATAAAAAAAGCCCTCACCAGTGTGGTGCAATGGTTAGAGTGTGGGCCCATTCACCAAAATATCGTGGGTTCAATTCCCAGTCAAGGGAACATACCTGGGCTTCAAGATCATCCCAGCCCTGTGCTGGAGACAACCGATCTCTCTCTCTCTCTCTCTCTCTCTCTCTCTCTCTCTCCCCTATTCCCTTCCTTCCACTCTCTCTTAAAAAGCAATTGGGGGGGGGGGGGGGGAGAATATGTTCAGGTGAGGATTAACAAAAAAAAACAAAAAAAGAAAGATGACCCAAATAAAATCAGAAACAAGAGATATAACAACTGACAACACAGATATACAAAGGAGTGTAAAAAATATCCTATATAGCCCTGACCGGTTTGGCTCAGTGGATAGAGCATCGGCCTTCTGACTGAAGGGTCCCGGGTTCTATTCCGGTCAAGGGCATGTACCTTGGTTGCGGGCACATCCCCAGTAGGGAGCATGCAGGAGGCAGCTGATCGATGTTCCTCTCTCATCAATGTTTCTAACTCTCTATCCCTCTCCCTTCCTCTCTGTAAAAAATCAATAAAACATATTTTAAAAAAATCCTATATAATAAAAGGGCAATATGCAAATCGACCCAGTACAGGATGACCAGTTGCTATGACATGCACTGACCACCAAGGGGCAGACGCTCAATGAAGAAACTGCCCCTTGTTGGTCAGTGTGCTCCCACAGGGAGAAAGCCGCTCAGCCACAAGCTGGGCTGACGGCAGCACTAAGGATGTCCAACTGTGGCTTAGGCCTGCTCCCTGGACCTAAGCCATCAGTCAGACATCCCCCGAGGGCTTTCGGACTGGTAAAGGGTGCAGGCCAGTTGAGGGGACCTCCCATGCCCCTCCATGCACCGGGCCTCTAATCCTATCTAATAATAGAGAAACATGGTAATTAACCGTAACTTCGCTACCCTTCCCATTGGCTAATCAGCGAGATATGCAAATTAACTGCCAACCAAGATGGCGGCCGGCAGCCACGCAGCTGAAGCAAACATGAGGCTTGCTTGCTCCATTGACGGAGAAAGCCAAGGTTCCCCACCTGCCGCAGCCCAGCTCTGAGCTCCAGATGCAACAATGTTGCAATTATAGAAGCTAAACAAACCCAGAAACCTGCTTTCAGCCGCCAGCGGGATCAGAGCTTAGAGTGCCAGTGATGGCAACAGAGTTTCAATTATAGAAGCTAAACAAACTCAGATACCTGCTTTCAGCCAGCCACAGCCTCAGAGCTGGAGCTGGCTCTCAGCTCCAGTGACAGCTATAGAAGGTAAATAAATCCCAGAATAAAAAAAAAAGAAAGAAAAAAGAGGCTGGGAGCTTCAGTCGCCCACCAGCCTGAAAACAACCCTCAGCCCCTCACCAAGACTGGCCAGGCACCCCAGTGGGGACCCCTACCCTGAAGGGGGTGTGACCAGCTGCAAACAGCCATCAGCCCGTCATCCAGGCTGGCCAGGCACCCAAGCGGGACCCCCACCTTGATCCGGATCACCCTTCAGGGCAAACCAGCCGGCCCCCACCCATGAACCAGGCCTCTATCCTATATAGTAAAAGGGTAATATGCAAACTGACCCTAACAACAAAAAGACTGGGAATGACTGGTCACTATGACACACACTGACCACCAGGGGGCAGACGCTCAGTGCAGGAGCTGCCCTCTGGTGGTCAGTGTGCTCTCACAGTGGGGAGCTCTGCTCAGCCACAAGCCAGGCTGATGGCTGCCAGTACAGCGGTGGTGGTGGGAGCCTCTCCTGCCTCCTTAGCAGCAATAAGGATGTCCGACTGCCAATCAGGATGAGTATGCAAATTAACCCAACAAAGATGTAGGTTAATTTGCATACGCACCCACAGAGTGAAGACTGAAGAGGCTTGGCTTCTCCGCTGCAGCCAGACCAAATGCCTGAGTCCCAGGTGCTGGAGGAAAACCAGTACCAGCAGCCAGGGGAAGGAAGGCCTATTGAGCGTACCTTCGTTCAACAGGTTTTAAATCTACACTAATAAAAGAGAAACATGCAAATTGGTGTCACTCCACTACACCCACCAGGCAATCAGGATGAGTATGCAAATTAACCCAACAAAGATGTAGGTTAATTTGCATACGCACCCACAGAGTGAAGACTGAAGAGGCTTGGCTTCTCCGCTGCAGCCAGACCAAATGCCTGAGTCCCAGGTGCTGGAGGAAAACCAGTACCAGCAGCCAGGGGAAGCAAGGCCTATTGAGCGAACCTTCGTTCAACAGGCTTCTAGTCTACACTAATAAAAGAGAAACATGGTAATTGGCGTACGACCGCTACCCTTCCCATTGGCTAATCAGGGAGATATGTAAATTAACTGACAGCCAAGATGGCGGCCGGCAGCCAGGCAGCTTAAAGCGAACATGAGGCTTGCTTCCTTCATTGAAGGAGAAAGCCAACGTTCCCCGCCTGCTGCTGCCAGCCTCTGAGCTGGCAGTTTGAAACTTTGTAACACTTTCAGCCGGCC